CTGGCAGTCTGTGGTTTTGTGCCTTTTGCATCCTTGGACCTTGTGGTGCAAGACAGGAGTGCACTCGCCCCTCTGTGTACAGCAGGATTCCCTGGGGGAAGCAGCTTTTAAAGCATTTGGATTGCACTTGCAACAAGTCTTTGCAAAGCCTGTGCAAAGTCAGCACAGTCATATCTTGGCCTTTTTAAACTGTGTTCAATCTCCTTTCCACGTTGTCCACTCGTATAATTAAAATAAAATAAGAGTTCTAGGGACAGCAGGAATCCTGAGATGCTTATTCCTGTGGTGCGCCAAAGCGTGCAATTAGACAATAATTCAGGCATCTGACCACACTCTGTTTCTTACATCAGAAACATCCCAGACTTGCAAGCCAGCTCTGCTGGTCAGTTCTTTCCAGCATCTCAGTCCTCACCACTGAAGATAATTACCTGGATGTGGATAAGGAACTTCCCAAATGACCCTGAAGGTTAAGGGTCCACTCCTCTTCCTTCCCAGATCAGCATGATGATCTATAAGGTGTTTTTGTGTCATGTGCATCATGTAGGTGGCAATCCTGCTGATTCCCATTGTTAGAAAAGCCTGAAATCCCTTTAATTCAAGCAGAAAATGTGACACCTCTTGGACATGCCAAGCACAGCCCAACTGTATAATCAGCACTGTCAGCACCACAGTCAAGTCAGAGGAGCAGGCTTTGTTCTCCCTGCATGAAATTTCACAATTCCCTTTTTTTTTTTTTTTTTTCCCAGTCTGTGAGTCTAATCCTTCACGGTTCTGGCTCTGGCAATTGTTAAGGTGTGATAATAAGCAGGAGATGCAATTCCACTGCTGTAGGAAGGTGTCTGCTCTGGGTTTCACACTGTGCTCCATCACTCCCAGGCACCAAGGGCTCAGCAGTGACCTCCAGCTCCCTGCAGCTCTGCCTGCCCTGCCCAAGCCACTCTGCTCCAGGCTGGAAGCACAAGAATTTCTGTCAGTGGCAGGGATGTGTTTGCATCAAATTAGAATTTGTTGTGAGTGCAAGGGCTTCTCACCTAACAGGACAGTCGCCCCTTGAAAACCATTAACAGCCACGGTGGTAAAAAACGGCAAAATTTTTAAAAAATGAATTAATTTTGAAATGTTCTCACTGACTTTTCCCATGTGTTGTTTCAAAACTTTTCAAATACCAAGTTAGGATTGTGGATTTTTTTTCAAAATCCAAAAAAAAAAAAAAACAATAAAATACTTTTCATGAAGGTATTCCTTGCAAACCAAGAGGGGCATTCACTCATCTTTCTTTGATTCAATGATTAATTTTGAATTAAACTGTTAAGTGCTTTCTGCCTCACATCAGCAATGAGTAAGACTACATGGATGTATAACCATCTTTCTGACACCAAGCTCAGAGCTTTTAAAGCTGTTATTTTAAAAGGAACAAAAAGAAAAGGGAAAACCTATGCCTGTTGTGCTGTTAACAAAACTAGCTAATGGCTGAGGGCTCAGATCAGATGAGTTGCAGAGGGTACAGTGACTTTTCAGATTCCTGCATGATGTGCTGTTGGTGCTCTTTCTACATCTTATTTCAGTAAGCAAATTAGCAGAAAAAGCCAGTGTCCAATTTGTCATACTGGATATAATTTTTCGTGTGGAAAGCATTGCACAGAGGTGGTTTCTGCTTTAAGCTTGTGCCACGTGTCACCCAAATATTTACTTTGCACATGAAAGCGACTCATCTCCAGATCTTATCAGAGAAGAATGGTGTTTCATATTTGAGTCACTCTTACCCTTCTTGTGCAATCAGTGTTCCAACAAAATGCTGCATTCAGATACTGAGCAGGACAGGTGAGTTCCAGCCAGGAGGAGCTGGGTTCACCTGTAGTGAACTAGCATTTTACCTGGGAAGGGAATTCTTCCCCCCTGCACTGTATTTATGGCAGACAATAGCAGGGATATTCACAGACACTGAATTTCCTGAATTACAAAACACAGCTCCAGATCCCACTGGCTGCACACAAATACCTGCTGGTGTAAACAGGGGGGAAATGCACAAGGGCTCTGCTTTCTGTAGTTAAAAAAATGGTTCAGATCTTTCTCCAAGCTTTATTAGCAAAGGACCTGTACCCATTGTTAGTTTTCCAGTAGCAGAGAAACCATATCAAAATATGAGTTATCTCTAATAAGATCTCAATTCAGCTTGATTTTTGTCATGCTTTAACAGAGGTTGCAGTCAGCTGGGTTAGACCTGAACACAAAAGAGCAAGCAAGAGGCAATCTCACTTCAAAGAACATATGAACTATTTAATAGAGTCAAAGAGAGAATTAAATCTCAGTTTCACCCACCTACAAGTCAGGGGCACAGCTCTCCTCCTAAAAGTCATGAGCCACTTGTCTGAGGCCCCCCTAAAGTCAGTGGAGAGCCACAAAAATCTCCTTTGTGCCCCATTCCACCTGCACAGGGGGGTGAACAAGACCTGTTCACTGCTCTGATGGGTGCTCTGTCCTGTCCCAGGCCAGGTTCCAAACCTCCCAGAGCTTCCCCAGGGACAGCTGCCCCTACCTGGGGCACGTAGGGCTTGAAATCCAGCAGTGCTCTGCAGAAATCCCCAGGTGAGAATTGACAGTCTTTATCTCACACGAAGATCCTTCTGATCTTAACTCCACAGTTACAACATCCACAGAAAGAAACAGGGCTACAAACTTTATGCAGGAAAAAAAAACCACATAAAATTCTTGAATCCAGTACTCCCATCCTATGAGAAACCGTAAGCAAAAATGGGAAAGAAACCACCAATAACAGTGAACAGCTCCTAGATGCAGCAGGTGGCTATTTTTTACAAGGATAGGAAAAGCAGTCATCACTTGATGGACTAATTTACAATGATTATTGCACCTTGTTTGTCCCTGATAGCATACACGACATTCAGGGGGCTGATACCATCTCTCTCCTCCCAAGCACCACACTGTTTCTCCTAGAGCAAGCACAGTAATTAAGGTTGGGAAACAAAGCCAGTTTACACGTGTAAACCAAAGTTTAGAGCCACCGACTTCCCCCACAGGCTGGGAGTCACTGGCAGGGCAGCATGAGGGACAGAAGCAGTCTGGAGGAGCAGGGGGGTCTTTGTACCCCCAGCCCAGCTGCAGCAGAGGCTGGAGCTGACAGGGCACCAGGGCCACTGGGGCTGCAGGTGGGCAGGGCCTTGCCCAGGGCCAGCTGAGTGCATTAAAGCTGCTGTAAATATTGAGGCACTGAAGCTATCCTGCATCACAGCCAGAATTTTTGTGCACGAGTACTTCAGGGTGCACTCGTGGTTCCATCACTTCTCCTCTGCTGTTCAAGGACAAGGAAAGACAACCATCCCCTAAGCAATGGCCCCTTTTCCTGATATATTTATATATAAAAGGACTATCCTTAAACCCTTTTTTTTCTACAGATATTACTATGTTGACACTCACTTCCCCCTTTTTTTTTTTTCTTCCACAGTGTTTTCTCTAGACCTTAAAGCACCTCTATAAGAAATAGTATATTGCAATATGAACATGCAGTGGCTTTCCAAAGAAAATACTGTCAAAATTAAGTCCACAAAGAGTTTGAGTTTCAATAATGCAGCATCTTAACATTTATATTGAAACTGATTTATTGCAGTCTATTATTTTTCTTTACATGAAGACAACACAGAGGAGTGAATAACTTGCCCAAAATCACACAAGAAACCTGTGAAAAAGCAAGGATTTGAAAGGCAGAAATGGGATCAGCCACAGCTAGTGTCAGCCATTCTTTCATACTTTAGTTTAGCCTGGAGATGTGACTCTTGAGAGGTGAGTCTGCAGCTGCTCTGATGATGTGTGTCGAGCCCTGAGTGCTGAGCCTCCACTTTGGCAGTGAAGCAAACCTGAGTAAGTGCCCTGTACGTGTCCTTCATGTCTGGAGGAGAGGCAGGTGATGTGCTGTCACCATTAACAGCGTCCAAACCCACCAAAACATCCATTAACAACAACAAATAATCTGTTTCCAGAGTTTGCAAGTTGTGGTGACAAAAGGGGCATGAAAACTTGGAGTGCACAACAATTCCCTCCCTTCTTCCTTTTCCCATGGCTGCACTGGGAAATATAAAATTCTATTTTGCTAATTATTGTGGAATCCTGGCTTTCCAAGCTCAGGGGCTTCCTGCACTGCTGCAGCCCTTTCTTAGAGAAGATTTTGCCCAGGAGCTGAACCAGCAGCCTGTTCTGTGCTGGAGATGTGAGTCTGCCAGACAAACCCTGGGCATCCTGCTCCATCCTTGTGGGAAGCTCTGGGAATGGGCTCCTGCTGTGGAGGAAGAACTTTGTGCAAAACAGTTCTGCAGGAGGTTCAGATGAACAAAAACAATTCTTACTGAGAGGGTCACAGGGCCACTGTTATACTTGGAGGTGCCAAATGTGGGGCATCTGAGGGAGATGGTTTTGTCTGTTTCTTGCCTTGCCAATATATTTTAATTGGCAGTAAATTCAGTTCGTTTTCTCCAAGTCTGTTTTGCCTGGGATGGTGATTGGCATGCGATTTCATCTCACCTGAAGAATATTTCCATGTTATTTTCACTGTTGAAGAGGAGAACAGGAGCATCTGGGTGGGCATCTGGCAACCCACCACAAAGCATCTATTTAACAAAAATCCAGCTCAGCCACAGGCCTGGTTACCAAGAAGATCCCAGCTGAAATATCAATAGTTACCCACCTGCACTGAGATCTTTGGTGATCTAAGCACACCTAATTGGTCAGAAATTTAAAGTGATCACTGATCTCAGTGATAAAATATCAGAGCCCCAGATACACCTGTACCTGTGGTTTCTCATCCTTTTCTCACAGAGAAGCACAGTGGGTGAGGATACACACGTTTCTCTCCATTCCCTCCAGTTATTCCTGTGCTGCTTCTCATCATCTCCCTTAGCATTCAGCTTAGCACAAAGGAGAATTTCTGGGATACTGGGAACAAAACCAAGCGACAAAAACAACCTCTGGTGCGAGCCAGTCCCGCAGCATTCCAGGTGTGACAGAGCCGAGCCGGGCTGTGACAAAGCGGGCTAATTACAGCCTGTGCTGCTCGGGTGTCACGGCAGAGCCGGGCCGTGTCCCTGCCCAGCTGTGCCTCTGTCCCCACGCACAGTGGGGCACAGGCATGGCTGTGATCCCCTTCTGAAGCTTTCCTGCTCCCGGGTGTGCCAGAGCTGCAGAAAGGTAAGAGACTCAAACCTCCTGGGGTCAAGGCTGTGTTTGCTCCTCGGGGAGCAGAGAAAGGGAGGGCACAGAGTGAGCTCGGGGACTGTGGGACTGTGGCAGCTCTGGCTCTCTGCTGTCACTGTCAACTTCTCCTCATTCAATTGGCAAGCTCTGAGGATCTGCAAGCCTCTCTCTTGGTCCTAAAATCCAGGGGCAAAGATTTTTCTCAGGATATTTTCTCTTTTCCCTAGAACAGATCAGGGATGGAAGAGAGGAAAAGGAGCTTTCTGAGAAGGTGGAAATGAGCTGTAATTAGGATAGAAATTCAAACTAATGCACCATAGCTCACACCTAAAAGCAGGGCACATACCTGCTTGGTTTGAGTGGATTTATTCATAATAACTTTTAAAGAGTTGCTAAACCAGCTCCAGGTGCTGTAGGACACATTACTTGAGCTGCTCTATCAGCTTTCGTTTGAAGGACAAGTTATGGACTTTATTTTTAAAAGAGTGTAAATGAAATGCTGCCTACCCATGAGTCAATGCTGTTGGTGAGGGAATGTTCATCTATACAGGAATTAAATTAAAAGTTGGCAAACATCAATTTTTAAAGTAATGATTAAGTGCTGGGAACAACTGTGTAAGGCTGCCTTCAATTTTGAAAGCTAAAGGGAATGTGAAAGAAAAAATTGTGTTCATAGAGGACAAAGGCTGAATCTAAACTCAGCATTTCCCATCTTCTCTTTGGTCCAGCTGTAAGGCATAACCAAATGTGACCATGTCACAGCAGAACTGATGTAGTATCTCCCCAGAACAATATTTCTGTCCACAACAGAGCTAAGGAAAACCAAGATTAATTAACTGTTAAACGTCATTGTGGCAGAACAGGAACTGAGCCCATTTTTTTCCCCCAGTCCAGGTTAATGCACAAACCACTGGACAATATTTCCCTTTGGTGGCTATTACTCTATTTTTGGAATGGTAATTAGGGTGGGACCAGTTCTAATGCAATCCCAGGGCTCAGCTGTGCTCACCCTCCACAGCAAGTGCCCTTTAAATGGGAATCAAGATGGTCATCTCAAGGGAACAAGGGATTATACTTCAAACAGTAAATTAAGGAACAAGGTTTAATAGATAAACCTGGTTTGAATCAAAGGTTAGCACAGAAAGCAGTGATGGATCTTATTCAGTATTTTAATTAATAACCTTGGCAGAAATATAGGAGTGGCTAATAAAATGTATGACTTAAGAAACAAATTATGGAAGCAGAAAATCTATTACGTGGAATAAGAAAAGTTAGAGACCTGCTGTGGCAGTATTTGTGAGCATTACAATGCGACAAAGCAGCCCACTTAAAAAACTACCCAAAATTCCAGCTGCAAGCTGGGAGTTCATTAGTACAGAATGACATTGGAGGAGAAAGACCTGCTGCTGGTTAATGACAACTTAAATACAAACCACCAGCGTGAGGTGGCTGGGAAAAGGAAATTAGTGCTGCTGGATTATTCTGCAGACAACTTTTCCATTAAATATAAGATGACATTCATACCATTCCCTAGGCTGAGGACAGAGGTCACTGACCACTCGTGGGGAAGAAGGATGAATTCACTGTACAGAAATGAAAGGGACTCAAACCTTGCTTAGTCCTGTGAAGGGAAGGCTGCAAAGGGACAGGGATGTTCCCTGGGCTGTTTCCTGGGAGAAGGTTTTCTGTAAAAGCATGATGCTGGCACAGCAGCACACAGCAAGAAACTGCTGTTAATAATTCCAGACTAGAAGGTTTGTGAAAGCTTACAGTGTTTTGAATGGCTCTACAGTGAGAGCACCAGTAAATGCACTGAATTATAGACCAGGGCTCCCTTCATGAAGGACTAACCCAACACAAACATCTGATGTGGGACAGGAAAACCCAGGCAGTGCCTGCCTTTCCAGAGCCTTGTGAGTGGAGTGAGCCAAGGCACTCAAGAGACAAGAAAAGGGAAGCAGGTGAAGAGTTTGCAAGAGGAAATAGGGTGCATTTTCAGTCAGTCCCCCTCAGCTACATCCTCTCCTTTTGATTAGGCTGGTAACCTGATTCAGGCTTAAAAGCCAGAGTAATTGTGATATTTAAAAATTAATTTCATGAGTAAAGAATGTGGAATTGGCAGAGCATTCTTCATCTCCTTGAAAAGGTTGTCTACTCCAGATATAATGAATACTTTCTAAAGTCCAGCTTCTCATTTGCTGCCAGCACTCCTCTCTTTTAGCTTCTATTTAAGCACAAGAATAGGCAAATACCTGAGTGCTGCTACCCAATTATGTTTGTCTGTATTAGAGCTGGAACAATTCCTTTTTGAACATCTGAAAACTCTCAGCACATTGTGAATGTTACCTGAAATGACCAACTCTGGACTAAAGGGAAAAGATCTCTCCACTGAGGAATTCAGTGTTTCATTGCTAGGCAAAAACTGGAATTAACTGCTTCAATCAAGTGAAACAGGCTCTTGATATTGTTCAAGTCCTAGATGCAATTTCATGCCAGCAATGGCATTTTATGGCCACTCTTCAAAATATCAGAAATTTAAATTGCCTCATAAACACAGCTGGAAGGGCTAAATGCCCAGGAAAACATTAAACTAGAGTGACAGGAGAACCAGAACACATTGCAGCAAAAGCCTGAGAGCCTTTGGGCCAGTGTCCTAGAAGCCAACAGGCCACTGGAGAAAACTGCTATTCCTCCATGTGTCCATGAGATGTGGAGATAATTTACATAATGTTTTAATGCAAACCTTCCAAAATACCAAAATTTTTAATCTAATACCCTATATTCTTCAAACACCCGAATCTTAGAGTTTCCTCCCAAATTCCTGTTCTCTTTTTTCCGTCTCTGAGCACACCCTCACTGAATGACAAATCCCACACTGACAGCAGATGAGGCTGGAAAGGAGATCAAGCAGTTCTTATAAAGTCACTGCTTGCTGAGATGCCATGCTTGAGAGCCAGGCATGAACCTGGAAGAAGCATTAGTACTGCAGGGAACTTTGGTTTTCACTTGAAATGCCTTTCCAAGCGGAGATGACTTCGAATGACCCCCACCTGTGGGGTTATCAGCCAGCAGGGACCTTCAGGAGGGACGAGGTGCAGAGCTGTGGGTGGGAGGGCAGAGTGGGGCTGTGCCCTGGAATTTCACAGCTCAGCAGCTTTGCTTGCCAGCCCCAGGCTGCTCTGCACACCCAAACACAAGGTCCTGGAGCAAGTCAGAGGAAGATGATGGAAACTGCCTGCCCACCCTTGCCTGGGGTCTCTCCCTGGAGCAGAAAGGAGAGATCAGTGCCTGCTTGCACTGAGCTGGCTCCTTGTGCATGTGCCTCAGGGTGTGATTTACTTCTTGTTTTAAATACTGATTTCCACAGGACTTCAAAACAGCTCTATTTTCCCGTGCAAACCGGTTTATATCCATGTGTAGACGAGACTAAAACTTGAGAGAAGACAGGGAATTGTTTCAATGCCCCTGGGACTATGCAGTTCATCCTGCAAATCAAGCAGTTTGCTGTAGTTGAGCCAATCTGCCTGGACAAACCCAGCCCACCCCGGGAGAGCCCCAGGAGCTCTGCCCTTGCTCTGTTTGCTCAGGATGACTGCAGAGGACAGCTCACATCACTCCTGAGCCATTCCTTGTGACCCTCCTGGCTGTCACTGCAGGCAAGCTTACAGGGCATTTTTCTGCTCTTCAGGAACTGCTTCCTGATATTTCTCCTTATGAGCTTTTCCTCCGGGGCTACTCACACTCTTCTCTACCCTGTCTTCCTCTCCAACATCTGAAAAAGAGGGGAATGGCTTGCTCTAATTTATGGCAACAACACCTGCAGGTTTGGGGGTCAGAGCCCTAAAGGCTGAGTGTGCACCTCACTCAGGGCTGGAGCCAAGAGCTGAGAGTGAGCGCCCCTAGGCCAGATTAAAGGGTCTGCAGAGCTGCATAAACACCCCTAGAAAATGCCTTTTCTGGCCCTCTGGACGCTCAGCATTGAGGCCCAGAGGGTACCCGAGCCCCTGGAGCTGAGCCCTCCCAGCCCTGGGGCATCCCCCCCATCCCAGCGCACACAGCCGCTGCAGGCGGAGCAAGGCACCCAAAGGGAGAGAATTCAGACTTTATCAGCCTCAGCCCGCAGCTCCCGTGCTCCAACAGATCCAACACAAACCCGGCATCCCACACCATTCCCTCTCTGCTGATTCCCCTTGCCCCTCGTGTCCTGCACATTCGCCGGTGATGCTATCCCGATCCCTCCCGGGCGGGGCCGGGATTAGTCAGAGTGTGCTTGCAGGTACCTCGGCAAGTTCTCACTGTTAGCCATCATTATTGCCTCCTACCCCTGCCTCTTGCAGGCGCCTGCCTGGCCTTACAGGCACTGGATGGAATTCAAAAGCTCTTTCCTCTTTTTCCTGTTTCGCAGCGAGATGGGTTCTGCAGAAGTGTCACCCAAATGGAACCACCCAGTGTTTACTGCAGCAAGATAGGAATAACACAAAAACTTGGAGACTCCCTGTAATTTTCCCCACTAATCCCTGTCCCAGGGAAGCAGCTCTTGGCCAACACCAGCTAATGTAACATCATCTATCACCTCACTCCTGGCCCACAGTCACTACTGACAAACTCCATTTCTTCTCCCTTGCTTCTCACAGCTCCATCCTGCCCAAATTCTCTTGACTCATCTTTTTTCTTCTCAGTGGGATCCTCATGAATCTTCTGCAATGGCCTGTTAACACCTCTGCCATTCCCAATCCCCTGGTTTAGCTCCTTTATAACAATTACAGAGATGTACCTTTCTCCAGCCATCCTCTCCAATCCATGTATTTTCAATTTCCTTTGGTATTTTCGGCTTTAACATGGCCAAAGCTGTATTTCCGATTTTTATTCCACGCCATCCTATTCCCTCAATGATTCATTCTGCTACCATTTTTCATATCACCTGACGTTCATCCAGATTTGTGAAAATTACAACACATCTTCCCTGGTGATATTTTCAAATTCCTTTTTTTTTTTTCTCCCTGAGGGACTGATGCTTTAACTCAGCACTACTGATCCTCCCTCTTTTGTCCTCCCCCTCAACACCCCTTGCAAACAGACTTGTTTGGGCCATCCTGCCTCCCCCAGCAATTCCTCTGCTGCTTTTCTTTGACCTCACACATTCGGGCAGTTTGTGCATCTGTGCTCCTTTTTTCCCAAAAACTTCCCTTTCCCCCCAAAACCTGTGCAAAAAGGCTGTCCCTTTCTTCTGCAAAGGACTCCCCCAGTAAATGTCGGCAGGAAATCAATCAGTTAATGCCGGTTCGAGGGGCAGCTAGGAATAATTATCGCCTTTGCACGGGCAGTGGTACAAACACACATCCCCATCCTGGGCTCTTCCTCCCGCGAGGATCAGCTCCTGCCAGCCCCTGCAAAACACACATTTTGTGGCCTCATCTTGCTCGGGGCCTCAGGCAGCGCAGTCACCCATAATAAGGATGTTTCCCAACAAAAGCCTGTCACCTACCGATGAGACAACAGTTTCACAGGACAAATCTGGCCACGATAACAACGCTGATAAGTTTGCACAATAACGCGAAGAAAGACAGATCCGAATTGCGCTGATTACACTGACTCAATCACACGGGAAGGTTTTTCACTGGGGCTCCAAGTGGGCTCTTCCTTTATCTGTTTATTTTGAAAACCCATAGGAAAAAAAAAAAAATTAAAAAATAAAAAAAATTGCACAATTAACTCTTTCAGTCCCGAGTCTGCACACTTTGAATAGTGTTTTCTGGGGAAACATCTTTAGCTTCCCAGCACAAAGAAATACCGGCATTTCTTTTACTAAGATGGTATTTTCTGCCCTCCACCTTCCTCACCATGAAGCGCGACAGGACCTGACTGCTCTCCACCCTACAAAAAACCAGTGTGAGAACTGCTCATTTCCCTCTGAGCACACCCGAGCGTGAGAAGCAGCAGCTACAGAAGCCCTGGCAAGCCCAGGGCAGGGAGAGCCACGCAGGGAAGGATTTATTTTGCCCTTCTTTCGGCAGGTGAGGCGCAGAGATGTCCGGGGAGAAGCAGCGGCCGCAGGTGCCCATGGTGATGTACGAGCCGCAGCGGCCCGAGCCCTCGGCCCCGCCGCTGGGCCAGGACGGTGAGCGGGGGTCCGGGGCTCCAGGGGCTCCAGGGGCTGCCAGGGGCTCGCTGGGGGTTGGTTTCCAGCACATCACCCAGCACATCTGGGACCCCTGCCAGGATGTGATGGGTTTAGAAAATCTGTGCCAGCATGTAAACCCCGGGCTGGGATGGGATCTCCTCATAGAAACATCATTAAAATGTTTAAAATTCTCAGCATCCACTATAATAATTATTTATTATTAATAATTATTATTATTAATAATAATTTTTTGTTGATTTATTTAATTTTTTTTAATCCACGTGCTTTATTGTAGCTGTATCGCTACAATAACTTCATATTCCTAGCGTGCAAGTCTTCAGCCAGCAAAGTCTGTACGTGGATGGGCTCTGTCCTGCTTTAATTGTCATTAGTTTTGCAGAGTTCAGGCTTTTCCCACCATCCCTGCTGGCCCAGCTGCCCTCCCCAGGCTCTGCAGGGATGAATGCCCCACTGGCAGTGCTGACAATTCAGCTCCAGGGCTGCAGGAGGGTGCCAGGAGCTGCTGCTCTCCTGGGTGGGCTTTTCCTTCTGGACACAGGCACTGCTCTCACACTACACAAGCACCTCACAGCACTCCCCATCCTCAGTGATTGTACCTGTGTTACCTTCCTGCTGCTGAGGAAATTGCCATTTACTGGACAGGGCTGGAGAAAAAACCCAAAAGTGAGATCAGGCAGTAACTAACAGCTGGATGTGTCAGCCGTGGGCCTCCAAACCTGACTCATTTTCAGAGCACCTCACTCTGATCAGCTCTCTCTGTAAATATTTTTGTCCTCAAAGATCTCTCTGGCCTCTTTCTAAGCTCAGCAGAGCTTGCAACAGGCTGTGGAGAGGGAGTCTCACTTGGAGCCACTCGGGCAAGGCACAGGCACTGCCCACACCCAGCACTGAGCTGCAGGGTCTTGTCCTTGTGTGGGAACTCACTTGCACTAAGCACATTCCTTTTCTAAATCAGAAGGAAATTATTTCAGTTTGAATTTTTTTACAATTTTCCCCCCTACAAGTAACACCCCCTAAAAACCAAACTAAAAACCAAACTGAAAAGTCTTCAAAACCAAAAACTAAGCACCAGCCCACCACCACGAAACCCAAATGCCATTGCAAATCTCTACCACTTCTGGCAAGCCATTCAAGTAAATATTGCTAACATTTATTCCACCTTTGCCACTGTATTTTACCCCAGTCTGGAAAATTCTGGGTTTATATCCCATTTGTATCCCTGTGTGCTCATTCCCTGGTTGCACCCACATGGTTTGTGAAAATCTTGAGCACAGGCTGGACTCCCAGCTCAGGGCTGAGGGTTTCTCCAGTGCTGTCCAGCCAAGATTTCCCTTAGGGACTGTCCTCCTGCCCCAGAGCAGCCCTGTGCTAGGTACCACATCCCCCCAGCTGGCTGTAAAGCTTTTTACATGGATTTATTTTGAATGTATTAATGAATGTATTTTTTTAATACAGTCATTTATTTCACCTCAGGTAGGCTGATTGCATTCTTAATTTGAAAGATTAGCAAAAGAACTGAAAAGCTTGAGGTGTCTTAGTCACCAGCTCCCCTTCTCCCAAAGCAAAAGGAAAAAGATATTTTAACTTTTTATTTTTCTTTCTAGAACAGAGTGGGGTGAAATGTCTTTGTTGAAAGCTGATAAAGTTTAAACTAGTAAAAAGGCTCTAAATACTAAATAGTAAGGGTAATTACCACTGAAGGTAGAAGTGCTGTGGGTCCTTTATCTGTGAAGTCCTGAAATTAAGATTGAGTATCATGGAATGATGGAGCTGCTGCCATTCCTAAGAAATTATCTGATTTCTCAGCTTTTACAAAAGTGAGACCAGCCAGCCACTGCAGCTCTTCTGGCTTTGAAACCCCAAGACTCAGTTCCTGGCTGTTTCTCCCCATGCTGGATCTCCCTGCAGGCCCCTCTTGTCTCACTCCACGGGGATTTTGGGAGCCAGGAGCTGTTGGCACTCACACATTTTGCCCTGTTTTCCTTTGCACAGGGGGCTATGAGTATCCTTCTCCCCCACCTTACTCCTACAGAGAAACCACCATCATCGAGGAGCCAGGTGAGCCCAGGGGTGCCCTGGGGCTGCAGGAGGGACATGGGTTTGCTTTTACCACCAGCACAGAGGGTGGGGGTTTCTGACACAATCACAATCTCATAAGCTGGAAAATTTCCACAGAAATGTCAGAAGATAAACCAAGACAAGGGATTCAGACCTGATTTTCCAGCATTAGCCAATCTACAAAAGTACCCATTTGAAAAAAAACCAACAAAAACAAACCAAACCAAACCAAAAAGGCCAGAAGCCAGGGCTTTCAGAACACATCATTTTAAGGCCACTGTTCCTGTTCTAGTCACCTTTATGAAGTGGAGAAGCTCAAAGGATTTTCTGAGGAAAGGCTTTGAAGAACAATCAGTAACACCTCATACAGGAGGAAAGAAGACATACATTTTTAAATATCCCTAAAACCAGAAGGCAGTTGAACTCAAATATGCTTTATCCTAACAGATACCTTCCCACTCCTCAAGTTTTGCCTCAGGCTACAGTATGAAGTTGTACCCTAAACATGTTTTAGGATCATTAAAATGATATTTTTTTACTGAAAACATTTCTGAAAAAAATATCCTTCATGTACCTACAAGGGGTGTGCCCCTCAGGGAATATGACAGTCAAGTCTAGACTGCAAAAACATGAGCTAGAGACTAACTGAGGACAGCACCAGCAGCTGTTTGATGGCATTTATGTGTAAGAATAACTGCTTTGATGAATTTCTCATAACTACTGAAAAGTTGATCCAGAAAGTTCCCCAACTTTCCTTCAAATCTGTTCTTCAGGGAGAAGAAGGATTTTGATATCATTTTAAATATCAGAAGACAAACCCTCAGTGTCAGAGCAGATCCAGCAGAGGGTGGTGGGACTGCCTGCCTGGGGGGTGTCCCACAGACAATTCCCTGTGTGTGTCCTTATCCAAGTAAACACTGGCTGGTTTAGGTGCAGTGTGTTGGGATACACAGAACCAGCACAGTGCTTCTTAGGAATACACCTGAAACCAACAATAACAATACAGATGCCACGTTAAGAACCCACATTCTCCCGATTTAGGCTTTATAACTTGCAAAATATTTCCTGTGCTTCTAATTTGGCCTCTTCTCCTCTCCTCCTGAGCTCAGTTTATTTGGTGCCCCAGCCTCCCATCATCGTGGCAGGGATCTTCTCCAGCAAACCAACATCCACAATCTGTCCTTCCTGCCGCCAGCACATCACCACCCAGGTCACCTACAGACTGGGCAAGCTGTCCTACCTCCTGTGCACCAGCCTGTGCATGGTTGGGTAAGTTTCCATGGGCACTGTGCAGCTTCAGCACAGCAGAAGCTTAAAAATGAGTAATTAAAAATCAAAGTTCTAGTGAGTGCCTATACAGAGAGTTTGCCCTTCTCCACTTGATGAGAAGCCATCCTGTCCCTTCTAGATGCAGTCATCATGGCTGCAGGGGATGCAAACTTGCTAAATTTAACCCAGTATGTTTCACTTTTCATAAGACAAGCAGAAATTAGTACAACATTGTCGACTTCCCAACTGTAATTTAGAATCAGGCTCAGGAACAGACTCATGCATGAGACGTCAGAAGAGAAGAAGATTAATTTTTTGGAAGATACTTTAAACATTAATAGACTTGGGAAAGAAGTGGATTCACACAGTGAAAAGGCAGACAGAACAAGGCAGGGGGAAATCACAGTTGTGGCCAGCAGAAAAGGGAAGCCAGAAATCATTCTGTGCATGTCCATGTCCCTTTGGCTCCAGGTGCTGCTTCGGATGCTGCCTCGTCCCTCTCTTCATCAGGATCTTCAAGGATGCAGATCATTACTGCCCATGCTGCCAATTTCACATTTATAGATACAAAAGACTATAGAAACAAACTTTATGCAACCAGATGACATAAAGCCTCTATTTCCCAATGGCATAAGATTCTGCACATAAAACTACTGCTAGGAAACTCATAGGACTACGCTTGGGTTCTGCAGCTCCCTTGCTGGTGAACCCACCTGGTAAACTCCAGTTTAACACCACACGGTTGGACTGGCTTCAAAACAAAAAACACTTCAAGACTAATTTGCACTATCATTTAATTTATGCTCTATTTGATTCGCTGCCCTGTGCTGTGAAGTTCCAGCTGGTGAGTTCTTCAGCTCCTCTCAAATCTCCCACCCAGCTGGGACACAGACTCCTCCGGACCTCTCAGCCCACCACTAACCAAGGTTTGGACATGGATGTTTCAGAGAAGCTCCTGCCTTCTCTGCACTGGAACTGACATGCTGGGAGTTCATTTCCCTCTGCTCTTCTTCCTGCAGGATCCACCCCTGCAGGGCTGTGGGTGGTACAGTGTAGCTGATTATTTATTAACAAAACACTAAGTTATGAGACTGTCTTTACTCTGTTATGTTTGAGGTAAGAAAATAAACGTGTTATTGTTCACAATACTGGCAAATCTGCTGATGCATTGCTGCCATGCCCTGCTGCACCCAGAGCAGAGATGCAGGTCACTGGGACACCCCCTTTACATTAACAAGCTACAATCCAAAAGGCAAACACACAACGAAGAAAATCAGAAAACACACAAAGATGAAAAATCAGCAAACACAGCTTGAAAAAGGTCACCACAACACAAGGCCTTTATTTTACCTCTCAGCCTTCTCACTGCAGTGCATCATCTCCCAAAGCAGGACTTATTAGACTTTACCTTCACACAGAACTTCACAGGCACTTATCTTGTGCAATCAAATATCTGCAATTACAATGCCCAGGAGGTGCCCAGACCCTTCTCAACACTGACAGCAGCAGCTGCAGCTTATTGCTGGCTGGAAAAATAAACAGAGGGAGAGAAGGAGCTCCTGTGTTTGCGAGTTATAACAGCATCAATGCTTTCCCATCGGCACAAGGATTGCCGAGGGCAGGGGAATGCGGGGCTGCAGTGCCGGGCACTTAAAGAGCTGAAAGAGATCCTTATGCAAACCCTGTGCCGTGGTGTGACCGGTGTCCCTGTCCCAGTGCAGTGTCCCTGTTCCTGGTGTCACCAGGGTCTCTGTCCCAGTGCAACGTCCCTGTCCCCAGTGTGACCAGTGTCCCTGTCCCTGCAGTGTCCCTGTGCAGTGTCCTTGTCCCTGCAGTGTCCTTGTCCCTGTTGTGAACAGTGTCCCTGTGCAGTGTCCCTGTGCAGTGTCCCTGTCCCTGGTGTGATCAGTGCCCCTGTGCAGTGTGTCCCTGTCCCTGCAGTGTCTCTGTGCAGTGTCCCTGTCCCTGCACCTGGTGTGATCAGTGTCCCTGTGCAGTGTCCCTGTCCCTGCAGTGTCCCTGTCCCTGCAGTGATCAGTGTCCCTTTGCAGTGTCCCTGTCCCTGTGCAGTGTGTCCCTGTCTCTGTGCAGTGTCCCTGTCCCTGGTGTGACCAGTGTCACTGTGCAGTGTCCCTTTGCAGTGTCCCTGTCCCTGGTGTGATCAGTGCCCCTGTGCAGTGTGTCCCTGTCCCTGCAGTGTCTCTGTGCAGTGTCCCTGTCCCTGCACCTGGTGTGATCAGTGTCCCTGTGCAGTGTCCCTGTCCCTGCAGTGTCCCTGTCCCTGCAGTGATCAGTGTCCCTGTGCAGTGTCCCTGTCCCTGGTGTGATCAGTGTCCCTGTGCAGTGTCCCTGTCCCTGCAGTGTCCCTGTCCCGTCACTCACTGCTCGGGGTCGCAGCCGCGGTCCCGGGGCACCGCCCGCCACCGCCCCCTGCCGGGCACGGGGCGCACTGCGCGCTCCGCCCGCGGGGACACCGGGACAGGGTCAGGGACACCGGGACACCGAGCCAGGTCAGAGTCCCCAGCAGCTCCTCCGGCACTGCAGCACAGCACAGGCAGGTCCCGGCTGTTGCTCTCGGGCTGAAGGGCGCTGCAGAAACGAGCCCCAGGAGCGGCGCTGCCCAGCCCTGTGAGCCCAAGGCAGCTGCCACAGTCTGCACCACAAACTGCCCCTGCTGGGCTGATCCCACTTCAGTTAAGCTAGGCTGGGCATATGCAATGGTTTTGACTTCAACACCTACACCACTGCAGCCTTTAGACCACAGAAACCAGTCTTCACACTGTGAGATGTGAAAAGCCATAATCAATACATGTAAAAACTGTTAAACAACCATTTCCCCAGGCCTACATGAAAGTCAGAGCCAACTCTCTGCAGCCCCCTCAACACCCAGGCCATCCCCAGAGCAGCTGCCCAGCTTTCACTGCTCTGTACCAAGGTCAGTGACGTCCCGCCTGTCACCCAACCTACCGTGACCGAATGGAATACAAACCACCAGGATGAAAGGCACACAGATGGCAGCACAACAGGTTTTACCCATTCACACATTTTTTTAGGATGTTAAGATTTTTCTCTATTTTAAAATCTGGCTGTGAAACCACAAGTGTTGCTGTTAATTAGTGGTAAATAATGCACCAAGTCAGTGACATTAATCAGGAAAGGTGCAAAACCCAAATTCACATGAATATACACATAGCAAAGAAATTATATCAATATATGACTTGAGATGTGCAAGAGGTATTGAACAGAAGTAGTTAGGACACTGCTGTTTATAAATACAATAGTTTTACACAACTATTTAATAAAAAATAAAGACTTCCAGCCATAGCAAATTTAATTTCCTGCTGTGCTTGGTATACAGCTAACTTCAACACCACCTGGGACAGAAATTAAATAGAACACAGATTTGGAGCCAGATTAGGACATATCACATGTGAACATTTCCCTCTTATTCTGACCCCAAAGACCAGGCAGGTTTAACAGCCAACAATAAACGACACTTGCTGCTCTCACATCAAACAGCAACTCTTCACCACAGTGCTTCAGGAAAAACAAGGGCTCAAAATGTAGATGATGTACAAGTCAGAATTCACCTTCTGGCCAGCACACCTTACATTATTAATGCCATCCCTAACACACAATTTGGCTGAATCTTGTGAACTTCACCTACTCGATGTAACCAAAATCTCCCTGAGTTCAGGGTGCCGCAAGAGCTGTGACTCCCACTCCTCTCCAAAATGAAGAGCCGAGACACCAGTGCAGTGTTTACCCTGGGCTATTTTATTTACAGTATGTACAGTTCCTACAGAAAACGATTTCCCACAGAGGATATCAAACAGCAACCCCCCAGCGTGGCTCCGATGTGGGCGCTGCCGCCCGCAGCCGGCGCAGCGCCCGCGGCCGGGCGGTCCGGAGGCAGGGTGGGGACTGGCACGGGGATGCTGGCACGGGGATGCTGGCACGGGGACGCCGGCACGGGGACGCGGGAGGAGCTCCGGAGGGCAGCAGCTGAGGTAGATCCGGGGTGCAGGAGCTGGGAGGCACTGGCTCTGCTCGTCCTGCGGGGAGCCCACGGCCGGGGCTGGCGCGTGCCGCGGCTGCTGCGCCAGCCTGGGCGGGTGAAGGGCTGGGGCTGGCTGTCACTCTCTAGTCAGCAACTATCACTGCTCACATTTCACAGAATGCTTTGGACTCCTTTAGGATAAAAGGCACTATGTAAATCTACAGGAACCACGCTCTATTTTGGTAGGGAGAATTCGGATGGGCTGTTAACACGTTGCTCTGGTGCTGTGTACCATGAAATTACATCCTTATTGCTTAACACTTACATTACCATTACCTTAATTTAATGCATTCACTGTTTATTATCCAGATAATTCCAAAATCTAAATAAAGAAATGGAAAGCATGGCAATTTTGAAGACTGTATTCTTGTAAATTTTTTAAAATTAACTGAACAAACATACTGCACCTGAGAAACCCTCCTGTCCTCCTCTTCATAGGTGTTTCCACATTTCAGTAACAAGTTACTGGAGCTCCCAAAACTTTTTTTTTTCCCAGAAAATCCTTCAGTAATTGAAAACTGCATATGGAATGCCTCAAAGCATGGACATCACCAAACTAGTGTGGGAATAACAAATATTGAAGCACATAAAATCCAGTCATCTAAAACCCAAAAGGCACCCAAAATCTGCTGTTAGTGGCTTTTTCTTCTGAAATAGGAAGGATTGTGTTTCTTTAGATAGTCCCTAAAAGCTGCCACCATCTCATAAATTCATGTGAAAACTTAGTGACATTCAGATACAAGAATTTTTTATCAGTCTAAACAACACTAAATATAATTAGGGCTTACGACTGCTGACCAGAGCCTCTGATTCACAGGAACAGTTTGGAAACAAATCCTGACATTCACTGAAAGCCTGTAGAGACAATCCAAGTAGCAGTAAAAACACCCCTGGGATGGTGCAGCTCTCACCAGCCTGATGGGAATGCAAAGCAAAGGAAAGCTTTCTCCACTTAAGGCATGCCAGTTAAGCACTTCCCTCTATGCTAACCTACACACACAGACAGCAAAACAAAAGTAAACAACTAGTTTGTCTTGACTGGAAATAAGAGACAGTCAAAAGCACTGCAAGATACAAACTAAAAAGAGAATCAAACATTCCTAGAACTTGCACCTTCTGTTTTGGTTATGAATACAGGGAACACATTACAGAGGGAATCTATTACTCTATGAAGAGACCTTACCTTTAGAGACTCCAGATTTCACTTTACACCATTTATAATATCAGACTTGAGAATCTGGACCACAAAGTTTTGTACAGGCAGGCAGAGTCCAGTCTACCACAAAGACTCTACTACAAGCTTTACAAACAAACTAGTAAAATAATTTTTCCATTTGTCTTTTTTGTACATGGCTCCTTTCCTGAAAAACCTTTTATTTGTTAAGCTCAAATGTGACTAGTTAGGACGTAAAAAAACCAAACCCCACAGAAACCTCCAAACCCCAAAACTATTAAACAGAAACCCCCACAAAGTTTCCCCAAAACAACGAATGAGGATTATACAATTGTCAACACTTAAG